ATTGAACCGCACTGGATTTCTTACCGGCCAATGAAATCATCGCTGTCCGGTGCGGTTCAATGCAAGATTGCCAGTTTTGTTTGTAGCGAAGTTTGCGTGATTTTTATGTCGAGATGTTTTAATCAAATAAACGTGATTAAAGAGGAGAATACTGCATAACAAGTGTTTTGTAATGTAGGTAAGATGTTAATAAAGCGACGACTTTATGTATTTCTTTGATTTTCTATGTAACACGGCCGTAAATAGTGAAAAGGTTGTCGTGCATTTTGCACGACAAAATTCACAGGTTTTGTCTATGGTAGGGTATTGGGCCCTAAAATAACATCAGAATATAACATTTTTTAGGGCACAATTTATTGCCATATTATTGGTCTATACGCCACGTAGTGTTAAGCGAGAAGGGAGCTTGTGTTGTGGCTAGCGAAGCATATACCCATCCAATAACGAAAAATGCACGATGAATTTGTGTTCTCGCGCGTAGGCCTATATGGTTGCTGAGATCGCGGTGAGTTTTGAAGCTGAGGAATACGTTGCTACAGTTTCTTGGAGTGGAGTCTGGAGATAGCTCACCTCTAATTTGGAGTTATTGTGATAAAGTACTTGGCTCTTATGGCACACCTGAGCAAAAGCAGAGCTTAATGCCGTTATTTTTTCTCTTCCTTCATAAGTTAATTCACATTGTTCACTGTCTATCTCCCCTAAAACCATATCTAAGTCTACGTAAGCTTTATCAAATTCTTTTTCTAACAGGTCCAACCATTCAAACGACTTATAAGATGCCATGTTTGTTTACACGCATTTACCTGTCAGATTCTTTTGGTGATTGCATTACATATAATCTCTAAACATCGACATGATTTTAGGCATAAATAATAAGGATTATTAATATAATAAATATGTTAATTATAAAAGGCCCCACCTGTTTTAGTAAACCGTAAAAATTCCACAACTTGGCAACTTACGAATATACTGTGGGGAGGTAAACAATAAAACATCGATGGCGCCAATTTTAAGATTATCATTAGGCAAACGTAATCCATCGCGACAAGTTAGTTCCCGGAAACAAAATGTTACTCCTAAGAAAAAGAAAATGGTCGACGTCAAGCTTACGAAGTTTCATATCTGTAAATCCCCCATGTCAAAGGTTAGTGTTATGTTGAGTTGTGTTACGAATACGAGCTTGAATTCTCAGATCTCTAGACTATATAAACCCACTAGACTAGGCGGCAGGCCTAAACCGACCAGGCTCTCCGACTCTTACAAGTTACACGGCCTCTCGCCAACGTAGTGTTAAGCGAGAAGGGAACTTGTGACTGTGGCTATCACTAGGCCTTATCAGTATCAGTAGGCCTATCACTTTATCAGTATCACTGGCCATCAGGCATCAGTATCGCAGATGGGGTCGTTGTCGTATCAGGTAGTACAGAGTAGGCCCTACAGTACAGATATGTACCCGAGGTAGTTTTAGGTTGTTTAGTATTATGTTTATATTTTGGCCGTGGCTACGCGACCGGTTCCGGACGGGGAGCCGCTAGGCTACGCGTCCGGACATCCATCTCACACAGTGATCTTGCGACACGCACACTAGAAACTTATAACTGTAACATGTTTCCGTCAACAGTCTATGATCAAAAGTTAACGTTGAGATTAATGTTGACTATTCTTTATTTGTATCTGGTAAGAAACTTATTAACAAAGGAAAGGCTACTGAACAACTTACGAATTAATCTGTTATGCATTATTGCCCGTTTGTGATATATATATGCATAAATAATGCAATTTAAAAACATTAGTGAAAGGAACCTTACCAGTTTCTTCTTAATGGTACCAGAATCAATGTTTTGGCCAGCTAGTCTATGCATTTCCAGTTGTAACTGATGATGCTGTAAAACGAGAGAATGGAGCTCCTTCTCTATTACAGCCTTTGTTGCCCGTGAAGAACATATGTCCTCACGCTTGTGAGCAAGATCACTCTGTAAGCAAAAACAATTTTAATAGTACTAGGTTGAATTATAATCAGACACAAAATACGGTGCAATAATTTCAAAGAGTATGTATACACACATATACACGTCTGTCTGTCCATCTCTCCCTTTCCATCCTTCCCTCCCTCCATATCCACCCCCCCCTTCTTCCTCTCTCTCTATGTGTGCATGCGTGCGTGTGTGTGTGTCTGTGTGTGTGCATGTGCATCTATGGGTGTCACTATGTGTTTGTGTCGTCTGAAAGTGGATGCGCTAGTAGTGGCACCACCATCATTGGAAGATTGGAGCTGGAGCTGCTGCTGATTGCGTGCGTGCATGCGTGGGGGGCATACCAGCTGTATGCCGGTATGACGGTATGTAGCTGTATGCCGGTATGTAGCTGTATGCCGGGTCAAAGGTTATCTCGCCAAGCGTTGCGTCGATGTCCAATCTCCCAGCGAGCCACACCGCCTCGCCGAGTGAGCAAGAGTGCGTTAGTAGCTGCCTTTTGTTTCAAGTTCGGCGGGCAATACGTTCGGATTGATGGCCAAAGAATGGATAATCGTGTCGTACGTTTTAGTCTGTATCTCCGGATTGCTGGTGTATACGAGGAAACGATTTCGCACGATGCTAGGCGAATGTACTGTGTACGATTTGAGCTCAAGTTGGTTGAGTTACGCGTAGTAAATAAGGCTAGTAAATGACGAATTTCCCTTGTTTATTGAAGTCACACTCCTTCCCTATTATCTACTCCTGATCTACATGTAATATGTATTTGTATTTGAATTACATGCAATGAAGATTTAATAATAATAACAAGATATTTGTAATTGATGCACCTTCTAACATTAATAAACAGAATTACAATATGCTATAAACTGTTCATATTATTTTTGCATGATGTTAAGTCTCTCTATTTTTACATTATTTTGCAATGGCAGTTCACACACGCGCGTGTGCGACACACACATTACTCCCTGGTGATACTCGGACACTCCCACCACAATTGTATAAAATATATACTATACTATGTGATTACTTTACAATTTAAATATATAGCATGTACGATTACAGATGTCCGACATAAATCAAAACAAAAGATATAGTGGGGATCACCAGGAAAGAAGTAATATTTTGATTTTCTGCTCACAAACCATCTGCATATGGCCAATACAATAGTAGGCGAAGCATTAAACCGACAAGGTTCTCCGACTGTTACACGTCATACTACGCCACGTACGTACACGTAGTACTACGCCACGTCATACTACGCCACGTAGACCAATAAATTGTGCCCTAAATTTTTTTTTTATTCTGATGTTATTTTTGGGCCCAATACTCTTCTATAGACAAAACCTGTGAATTTTGTCGTGCAAAATTCATGACAACCTTTTCACTATTTACGGCCGTGTTACATAGAAACATCTTACCTACATTACAAAACACTTGTCATGCAGTATTCTCCTCTTTAATCACGTATTATGTTATTAAAACATCCCGACATAAAAATCACGCAAACTTCGCTACAAACAAAACTGGCAATCTTGCATTGAACCGCACTGGATTTCTTACCGGCCAATGAAATCATCGCTGTCCGGTGCGATTCAATGCAAGATTGCCAGTTTTGTTTGTAGCGAAGTTTGCGTGATTTTTATGTCGAGATGTTTTAATCAAATAAACGTGATTAAAGAGGAGAATACTGGGCCCAAGGATAGAGAACATGGGTCCCAATAAAACCAATGTGC